CCTGTCCACTCTTCTAAACCCTTACTGTTGACGCGTCATAACACTTTCAACGTACACTCTGTTGTTGCTAATGGGGAGTACAATGCCGGATCGACCACAGTATCCTTCCACAAAATAAACAACAGTGGAAAGAAGGAGATGTTATCACTGGGACCATAACTTTATTCGTCCGATGTTTCGGATTCCCTTGCGGATCCGTCATCAGAGACAATAGCAGAAACGGCCTAATTCATACACAGGGAGTTGCAGTACTTATACTATAAATTCATTATGCTACTGCATACGATTAAAGGCTCCGCCTTATCGATAATAATGGCTTACTTGTACACTAATTGCTTCCTGGCCGGCGTGCGGTCCGTGACCCACCGAACTTTCATCACCTGTATTGGTTTTGGGCGTGCTGCTTTTCGGCCATCTGGCTCCCTGGCATTAGAAGGTGCGTTCGGAATCCGAATCGTCAGGTGAATAAAGTTCTTGTTTTAGTGGTTACATCTGCTTCTTCTCAGTTACTTCCTGGGATTCGCATTTTAACTTATATTGCCAGGGGCCTGTTCAAGCTTGTCGTCCGATTGATGATGATTATGATGGTGATGACTAAATCTTCGTGAAGTATTCGTCTTATTGAGAGGATCTACATATAACCATCGCAGCCTGATTCTCGTTGCCTTCGGCTGGAAGCCTCTTAGGTCTAAAATTTTAGCGCGTCCGATTTCTGTAACGAGGAATGTTTTCAGGATCAATCGAACTGTCATCACCTCATATATGTAGCACTGATCTGTCCTAGCTTTTCGTCCGACTGATGGCTATACTGGACGCCTTTGCGCAGCGCTTCCATCAACGGGTGCCGACAGTTCCCCCGTCGATTTCGACGATGGGCACCACATGCTCCAACAAGCCGCAACAAACGCTGAAGCAAACCGAAGCAGACACTGAGGCAAGCTGGGCAAGCTGCACGAAGGCTACAACAAGCAGAAGCAACGCAGCGAACTACCGCGAACGAAAATAGGAGTTAAGGCAGACTCGCGGGGAACCTGCCCACTCGATCGCCGCTATCACCTCTGTTTCCGGTGAAAAGACAAATTCAATAAAACCGCGGATGAGGGAGGGTGTAAATGGCTGGCGCGATAGTCACTCAACACGCGCTCACTTGACTCAGCCAACTCGCTAGGTATGTTCCCGCGTGTGCGGGAGCGCCATAAAGGCCACATTAAGAAGGAACCATTGCAGCCTGACTCATTCCTCCACCCCCTCAAATTGACTAAGGTTTCGGCTGCTAGTGTTTGTAATGCTAATGACAGAAAGATTAGCAGTACTGCAGAGGAAGAGAAATCGCAATTTACAAGGTTAAAGGTGCCTGGGAGCTAGTACAGGTTAGTATTGATAGGGAGTACCATTTGTGAGCTTAGCCACTGACAACCATGGGATGCGGAATACAGCAGAAGTAATTTCCATAAGACAGATTGCACACTGGGACACGTAGTCTAACTCTTTATTTATAATCATGAGTCTGGTTTGTGCATTGCGAATGACTGTCTTTGTTATTTTTTTAAATGTTTCCCTCTGATCCTTCCTCCGCAGAATACTCCCGCTCGACCCACCCATCCGGGTCTCCGGAACCTCCGGACTTCTCGTGACTTGCAAGCCAATATCGTCCTGACAGTGGAACCTGGCTGTTATTTTATTCCTCTTCTGCTCGCTGAGGCCGCAGCCTCCCCGGTGCAGAGTCAGTTTCTGGTGATGGAAGAGCTCCAGCGATTCCAAAAATTTGGTGGTGTGAGTAGCTTCACTTCTTTATCATCACTTAGTATCAGTATATTTGAGGGAATGTAGGTGGGTTATCTTTGGATTCCCTATTTGTACACGTGTGTTGTAGTATCAGGAGTATAGTGTCTCACCTTATTAGTGAGGCCAATTAACATGGGCCAATATGGTGGATCATAGTTAAAAAAGACCCAAAAAAAAAACTGTCGCTCTTGGCGGGGGAGGGGAAGGGCATCGCAGAGATCACCGGGATTATCACCGAAGTACGGAAGATGCAGACAGATACTCCCTTGCTGGTTGCAGATTCCGCAGACAAGGTTGGGAAAACAGAAAGATCTTCCAAGATCGTTCATTGTCCCCTGCGGGTTGAACGATACAATAACGTTAAGCGGCCGCGTGGACTTTGACTGCAAGGTTCGAAAGATGCGATCGCTGATTTGGTCGTCACGGTATGCAGATATTCAAATGGGGAAGAGCATGTCACCTTCGCGTTGGAATTATGATGAGAGGGCGTAAGCAATAGGTTGTTCGTAAATAAAGAAGTATGTAAGTAAATGTTACTAGAATGTAGCAAATAGTATTGTAGGATCGCGTTTTCGCCGTCTTGTCCATTGGGCTGAGGATTTTACTTCATCTCGCTGTAAGACTTTATGCTATAAAACTAATGCTACCAGAATATAGAAAGTAGTATTCTAATTCTAATTTTCGGGCATCTCGCCACAGTGATCCAACTTCCGCTTAAAAACCTCTGGGGATTCCGACATAAAGATTTCCAGGGGTAGAGTATTCTAAGCTTCGACCACTCTTTTGACGAAAAATTACTTCCGACTGTCCAGCCTGACCACAGTCACACGTAATTTGAGAGGATGATCTCTCAAATTCGTTGTTCTTAACTCCCCGAAGTCTCCTGCTACAAGACAGCAGTCTTGAGCACTTTAGTAGTATCAGGTCCCCCCGAAACTGTCTATAGCACAAGGGAAAGAGGTTGAGATTTGATAGCCGTGTTTCATAGGACAGTGAGCCCTGTCCAATGACAAGCTTAGTTGCATGCTTTTGAAACTTTGCTATTTGTTGTTTTTGTTGTCTCCGCATTTCCGCTGAACTGAATTTGTGTGTTCCTTCTCTCATATTAGGTCAGAATTGAGGAGGACGTCTTGATAACAGAGACGGGCTGTGAAGTGCTCTCGGACGTGCCTCGTACGGTGGCAGAGATTGAAAGTTGGATGGCCGCTGAGAGCACGGAGTATGATCGGGTGCTTTAGGATGTCTACGGCAATCTTTTTTAGAAAACTAAAGGTGTGCTAATTTGTCCATTCCGTCACTCCACCCGCCTTTATCCATTGTGTCACAATCCGGACGATGGGGAAAGCATAGTGCCTTCTCTGCGATTCTGCCTTTTAGCTCGAATAAGTTTTCCTTAATTTTAACTATTTGCTGCTTTTGTTATCCGAAAGAGATTTTGGTATTCACTGTCTGATGCATGCAAGCATACATGCTTGAGAGAGCTTACTTTGCTGTCCGAAATATCAAGTCTCCAATAAACTCGTGCTTGAAAACTCTGTTTCTTGTGATTGCAAGTCACTCTAGTAAGTTAAAGGAAAACTTTATGTTTTCAAGCATAGCTCAGATGCCAGAGGCAGCACATGAAAAACGCGGTTTATGAAAAGTAAGCCGTTGGATGCGTGGAAAGTAAACAGTAGAATCTAAACTATAACTGCTTCTAATTGTTTTAGTGAGCTAAATATGCGTGAAAAGTATCAGGAGAAAATAAAATTTAACAACGTAACCTACTACTTCTTCAGTAAAGGATGCCTACTGACCCACAAGACTATTAGACAACTCCAATTAGTTAAGATGTTTGGATAGGCCGAAATTCGATCCACTGAAAATTTGCAAGTAAGGTGTTATCATCATTACGAATCCTCAAAAGGCCTCTCTGCCAATAGTGGTTGTCTTTTTCTAAAGCAAGTAAGTTCCAATAGTGAAGGTCTGGGTGACGCGATGCTCAAAATATGTTAGCGTTGTTATTGGCCGCGCCACTGCTCTGTTTCTAC